CACCCTTGCAACTGCCCATCTGAGAGCTCGCTGCCTCACCCGAGGCCTCCCAGGCCTCCTGGCCATTGTCCGTTCTCAGACGGTACCCACACTATGACCGAATAATTCCTCCTTTACTGTAATTCTTACCTTATTACAGGGAAATATGAGCCAAGGCCACACACCTCACTGCCAAGTAGGAACTAATGATGCCAGCATATGCTTCTCCGGTAACCTCCCCATCAGGTGGCTGGGGATGTTCCGGATCCCCATGGCTTTGCAATGGATATCTCATTAGAACTAGAAGTAACACCCCAATCTCAGGGGGTCTCTTACCAGAGCAAGACCTAACCTTTCTAGAAAGATACACTCCTCTATCCAGTGTGCCCAGAGTCTTACGTGTGACAAGTGACGTTGTACTGTTTCACAAAGTTTAGCTGAAAAAGCGACTGATGAACTTTAGAATAAGCCAACATTAGGACCTGCTACAAATGGGTGGAATTAGACAAAGCCATTTGCCTTTCACCTCTTGCTTCAGTTTTCGTAAACTTGCCCAAAGGTATTGCAAACCATTTGCAATTTTGTTGGCTTGGTTAAGGAGTTGGCAGTGTCAAGTGGCCCTGTGTAAAGTCACGTCACTACTTCTGTAGAGAGCAAGGAACGTCAGAGAGAAGGGAAGTGTGGCCAAGATGCTTCTTAGAACACTGCAAGAAGAGGAGGTAAAAAGGGAAGAGCTGCTTATAAACACCGGGAAAGGAGATGACGTTGCCTCGTATCCTTGATTTCTCATTATGTAATCAAATAAAGTCACAAGTCTCATTTCTTACAAGCCTGAAAGTGGATTCTACTCTGCATTTAGGAAAAAGCCCTACTTGCTAACTCGGTGCCCTCAAAGAGATCACAAGCTGGTTGTGAACACCCTATGTCCTGGGAATGCTTACTGTCAAAGCTCTGCAAATTTTCTCATTGAAGGAACTCAGGGCATTATGCAAATTAAATTTTGAAAATGTATACAGCTATACATGAAAAAAAAATCCAGGTTTATGCTCTGCATTGTATTACCAAAGAATTTATCACTTTTCAACGAACATTCAATTATTTTAAACTAAGTGTGCAGTGAGAACATTTATAACATAATCTCATTTCCAGAGTGTTCCATCCCAACTCCTCCAGCATAAGTAGCTTAGAAGGTTAGATTTTTTTCCCCCAGAGGATTAAACATCTCAGAAGAGTGGCTAAGAGGCAGCATTGGTTTCCTCTCATTTTCTCAAAGTGAATTTAGCCTTGTGAAGAAGAATAAAGTGAAGGTCAAGGGTTAGATCCATGGCTTTAAAAAAATGCAGCTTTCCTTACTCTGAATTTATTATAACCAAAAAGGCCATGAGGCAGCCATTAACGATTTTAAGTTACAACAGAAAGAATAAAACACTTACTTAGGGTTAAACAAGAATTTGATGGTCACTTGCTGCCAACCTCCGCTTCATAGGGAAGGAGGAGAAGGCCAGGGAGGACTTTCTTACCCACACTGACTTGACCAGAGATGCCAGCACTAGAGTGAAGATGCCCCATCCTATGACAGCCTGCACTCAGAGGCTGATTCTGAAATACTCATGCCAAAGGCAGCCAATGGCTGTGTACAAGGAGAAAGAACAGTTCCTCAGAGCTGTGTCCTTGGGCCAGTCACCTGGAACTATCACAGTCTCTTTCCTTCTCTCTACACTTGGGCTGAATCCCGCCTTCCCTGCCTGCCAAGCAGGTTTGGTTTGAGGGCCAAATGAGTGAAAGTCCGTGAAATGTCCCTAAGTGTTGAAGTGTGTAGTAAACGATAATAGCCCCAATTTGTTGAACATGATGATGTACCAGGCATTGCACAAAGCATCATCTACCCACCACAGCAAACACTGCTGGGAGGCAGGGACACCCCCACCCTCCTTGTACACATGGAAATAGGACTTCGGTTACATGGCTCTCCCAAGGCCTCACAGCCTTGAAAACAAGCACTTATTAAATCCCCAGTGATGCTACCTTTCAGCCATTCAATGTGTAATGGCCAATAATTAGATATGCAAACACATATAACCAAAGAAGATTAGAGGAGACATGTATTCTACATAAACTACATGAAAATAACACTTCAGTATTTTCCTGATTTTTTTCTGGTAATTAAAAATGATTGCCCTTTATATTTTTTTATGGATACAGTTGTATTGTCTTTAACAAATTGTAGCCTCCTCCCTTTTAAAGAGTGAATTAGTGAGAAAATAATGTTATCCAAGATTTTAAGAACCTAGTGTGTGTGTGTGTGTGTGTGTGTGTGTGTGTGTGTGTAGGATGGGTTTTTCTAAAATATTTTACTTGCATGCTAATGTATAATTTTAATGACTGGTTGTTAAAATATTGAATTGAGGTAAATTCAGCTTTTCTTACAGTGTTTTTATGATAAATGTGAAATTGAAAATGGAAACACTCCATTCAGATTGTGTGCCAGCTACAACAGAACCTCAGCATGACGGAGAATTCACTGAAATAAGTAACTTCCTCATGGAATATGACAGTCAGCCTTTGTTTTGGGTACACAGTCAATGAACCGATTTCCTATTTGTTTTTACTTTTCAACAAGTTGCGTCATTTGCTGATAGATATCCAGCCTTTTACTAAGGAACCCTGATTTTCTCAAGTCTCAGTGTGTGGAGGAGGTGGGAATTTGGTGGGGGAAGCTTTTTCAGTTTGAGAACCTTTGCCATTTTTTGTTTCAATCATGACTAAGATATTAAAATCCGTGGTCAGCATTGCCAGTTGCTACCTGGTCCCTGCCTCCCTGAGGGGCAATGAGGCCATCCAGAGTTTGGTAATCAAAATATTTTATTATTTGTATTCACACCATCATTAAAAAAAATAGCCTCTAGTGAATCAATATGGCAAATGAGTAAACCAGAAGATGGCGTTGAAGATTAGCAGTCACATTTAAAAACAAGGTAGCAGTGTGAAGGCTCACAGTTTCACGCAATGACTGTTGTTCTGAACTAAAAGCAGAGGATGTGGATGAGCTAAAATTTGAAATATTTTGAGAATGACTAAACCCGGTGCAGAGGACACGTGTACGAAAGTGCAGAAAGCTCTCATTTGCCGTTTTTGTACTTAGCAGACTCCTGTCTAGTATGTTGGTGAACGTTTGAGGCAAAGGTAACCATTGATTAAAATATAATGCAACAAGAAGGCAACGATCTTTGCTTTGTTCACTGATGTTTTCCAAGTGCCTAGGATGCTTCCTGACAAGTCATAGGTCTTCAAAATATATTTGTCAAATGAATAAATCTCTGAAAGGAAAGAAAAGGAAGAAAAACAGGTTGTGACCATAACTTTTTTTGAGCAAAACCCTGTTGTTTATTACATAGATTTGGGTAATGGAAAACTTACTTGGGTGAAATGAAAAATGGCATCCTGTTAATTTCTTAGAATATCTGTTGGTTTTAGGAAAAGCATACATACCTCACTACCTGTTTTGCTCTAGCCTAAACATAGCTTTTTCTTTGTTTGGGAGACATTGACCCAATATATAAATTAAAAGGAAAACTGAGAAATAAGTGAAATCAAAAGGTTTTCCAAAGTTGCAAGTTGCCCTAGGGTGGTGGTGGTCTAAAATCACACGAAAGCCAGTGATCTGATGGTTTACCTGAAAATGCAAAGTAAACACACATACTCAGCATCCCAAATGATCAGGTGAAAGCTCAGCAGATGAAAGCTCACAGGTTAACTTTGAGATTAAAGACATCTTGGAAAAGCATGTAAAATCCCAGGTCCACTTAAATATTATTCCTATTTGGGGCTTTTATTTTTATTTTTGAAACGGAGTCTTGCTGTGTCACCAAGGGTGAGTGCAGTGGCACAATCTTGACTCACGGCAACCTCTGCCTCCAGGGTTTCAAGTGATTCTCATGCCTTGTCCTTCCAAGTAGCTGGGACCACAGGCACCTGCCACCACACCTGGCTAATTTTTATATTTTTAGTAGAGATGGGTTTTCACCATGTTGGCCAGACTGGTCTGGAACTCCTGACCTCAGGGGATCCATTACCTCAGCTTCTCAAAGTGCTGGAATTTTAGGCTTGAGCCACTGTGCCCGGCCTATTTGGGGCTTTTATACCCCAGTAGTAAACTGCTTTCCACCACATTGAGGTTGAAATGTCATTTTAAGGTGAACTGAAGCCTGGAAGTGACTAAGCACTTGGATCCTTGGGGACCCGCTCCCCCTACCCGATTTCTTTCATGCTAAGATAATTGAAACTTTAGGTCCGAGGCATTGTCTGAGTTACTTGAATCACCAGCCTAATAGATGCAAAAGGATGCAAGCTTGTCAGACACGCAGACACCGTATTTGAACCACGCTTTACAGCTCAAGGGACCTGGGCCATTTCCTATTTTCTTTTTAGTGAGTGCGATGTTCTGTAAACACCACGGAGGGGCAGGGTTCTGGATAATGGCCTTGCCACGGGTGCTCCCGCAACTGCCACCTCCAGTTCGATTTGGACCATTCCTCCGTCTTCGGTTACAAGCTCTGCAAAGCGAAGTCCCCTTCGCACCAGATTCCCGCTACTACACGCCTCCCATTTCCCGCCCTGGCCACATCGCTGCAGTTTAGCTGTTGCAGGTGATTGACTGGCCTCCTGTCAGGTCCTGGCGCAAAGGCGAGATTCGCATTTCACACCTCGCCCTTCGCGGGAAACGGCCCAGTAACAGTCCCAGAATCGGCGCGCGCCCAGCTTGGAGGTGCGCTCTCCGAGCGCGATGCGCGGCGGGTCGCCAAGGACGCGGGAACCCCAACCCGACCGCGGCAGATCCCAGCCTTCGCGCTGGCCCCGGGGTTCGCCCGTCCGGCTCCGGTTCTCGGCTTGCAAAGTCCCGCTCGCCAGTCCAACCCCCGGCCCCCTGCAGGACTCGTCGCCCTTCCCCGCCCCGCCCCGCCCCAGGCCCCGCCCCAGGCCTCCAGGCCCCGCCTTTCAAGTTCTATAAAGTTCCTCTTTCCCACCTCGCACTCTCAGTTTCACCGCTTGATCTTGGGACCCACCGCTGCCCTTAGCTCCGAGTCCCGGGCGAGGTAAGGCCTGGAGTCGGGCAGGAGGAGGGGTGTAAGGCTGATAACAGAGAGGACCTGGAGCGCGAACCAGAGGTTCGATCCCCAGGGCAACGCAGGGCACCCCGGCTCTGGAGTGGGAAGGGAGCGCGCCCGGTCCTGGAGCTCCGACTCCCACCCCATCTTCGCTGAGCCGGGAGCGCTCCCGAGGTCGCTACACGCTGGACGGGATGAGCTAACCGGACTGTTGGGGCCCCAGGAGTGGCTGAGGCGGGGCGGTCCAAGGCACCCACACAGGATGGCACACTTGCCTGCGAGGAACAGCCCCGACCCCGTGAACCCCAATCCCAGGCTCCTTTCCCTGCTCTTCGCTTTTAAGGGGCCCCAACTCACCGCAGCCTTCAGCGCCGGCGCTCACCCGCTGGCGGAGAAGGAGGAGGAGGAGCTCCACATCTGGGTCACTCGAGCCTTGCGTGCGATGGCCTAGCCGGCCTGGCGCGGTCCCTGCCGTCCAGGCAGCTGGCGTTGCCCTCTCCCGCGCACTCCCCTCCTCGGCCTCCCGGGCCTGCTCTGGGGTCCGGCGGACGCTCTGCGGGCGGAATCCCTTGCTACTGGGCTACAGCCCCCGCTGTCCGCCACTGGTTGTTTGCAGGGCCCAATTAATTCCCGCTAGCTAGGCAGGGATAGGGGTCCTATTCGGGACGAAGGGTCGGGATTCGAGCAGACAAAGCGGAGGGTGGAGGAACCCGGTGTTGCGCCTTGAACGCCTGGCGGCAGGCGGGGTCCCCAGCGCGTGGAAACTGACAGAGTCGCGGGAAAGGGGCGGGAAACTACTTGGGAGTGGGCGAAGAGAAGCGAGGCTGCAAGTGAGTGCCTACGGAGGGTCAGGAGGGATGGCGGCTGGGAGATGGGGAGAGAGTGCAAAGCCAGCGGCGCGCCTCTGGAGCCCTCGGGCTGCCGGTGCATTACCAGAGTGGAGAGGGGAGCAGGCGGGTGGGGGCCTTCTCGAGGCGGCTCTTGGAAGGCAGACGACTGTGCCCGCCCAGGGGATACGCCTGGGCCAGCCGCGAAGGTGACTCGTCCAGAGGGCCTTGGCGACCCTGACACGGCTCGCGCGTGCTTCGCAGCCTCAAAGACCCCAGGGCCTCGTGGTCACTGCCACACGGGATAGGGGGCTGGGTGCCCGGAACTCTGTGCCTCGTGGCTGAAGGGCAGCTCTCCTCCCTGCAGCGCAGCGCAGTGCACAGCAGAGCAGAGTGGGCGAAGGACCCCGGGCGCGGGCGCGGACGGCACGCGGGGCATGAACTTGGAGGGCGGCGGCCGAGGCGGAGAGTTCGGCATGAGCGCGGTGAGCTGTGGCAACGGGAAGCTCCGCCAGTGGTTGATCGACCAGATCGACAGCGGCAAGTACCCGGGGCTGGTGTGGGAGAACGAGGAGAAGAGCATCTTCCGCATCCCCTGGAAGCACGCGGGCAAGCAGGACTACAACCGCGAAGAGGACGCAGCGCTCTTCAAGGTCTCCGGCCCAGGGAGCCCGCGGGGGCGCGGCGGGAGGGCCCAGAGAGCCCGGGTTCCCCGGCGTTGACTCCGCGGCGAGCCCAGGGAACTGCGCGGGGTGGACGGGCGGGCGGCGGGAGCATCAGGTAGCATCGCCCGCAGCCACGGGAGGAAAGGAGGCCTCAGCTCTTAGGGTGCACAGGCCGGGAGCCGGGTCCCAGTCCTGAGCGCGTGGCGACTGCAGGGAGACTCCTGGAGGCTTGGTCCGGGGAAGGGCGGTCAGAAGCCTGAGGGTTCTCGGTTGTTGGTCTGTGTGTTCCCGTTTCCACGCAAGCCTCCCACCCTGCCTCCGGATCCGGGTCTGCCTCCTTCATCAATGGGTCTCCCTGTCTCTCTCCGTGCGTCCCGCGCTGGTGCGGCTGTCTCTGTTTCTCTTTCGCTGCTTTCTCTCTGAGTCTTTCTCTCTGCATGTTTTTCCTGAGGTCAGCCTCTCTTCACTCTCCTGCTAGCTCTTTTCGGGTGCTCCCATTTCTGTGTCTTTCTCTGTGTGTGTCTGTCTCTGCCTCTCTCTCTCTTTCCAAGTCTCTCTGGAAACATCCCTTGCATAGCTCTGAAACTCCGGCCTCTCTCTGGATCTGTCTCCCTTGCCATTTGCGTAAGTGCACACACGTGTGTACGTCTGTTTTCCCCCAAGGCAGTTTACCCAGAGAACTGTGCGTCTGGGCCCAGCCCCCACCTGTGGGCAGAGCAAGGGAAGGGGACTTCCTCCGGGAATTTGGTCTGAATTTGCTCTACGGTGCCTCAGCTGCGTGGCCATCCAGATGTCTCCTGTGGGTGGCAGCTCACACCACAGCTGTCCTTAGTCCTAGGCAAGCTCACCTCAGACACTGAGGAGGGTGGGTAGAGCCCCCTCCAGGAACCTCCGCATCTCAGTTTACCTTTTATAAACACCCAGAAAATGTGTGTCTTCAACTTGGCAGTGATAGGGTCCGAGATGGAAAATAATTTTCCTAGGGGATACCTGGGGTCTTTCCATTTGCATTTTGAGCAACAGTGTAAATCTGAAAGACCTGTGTATCATCCTTTCTTTTAGAAATACAGTTTCAAGATTCTTTGTAAAATATCTGTATTTTTGGTTGTGCATGGTGGCTGACACCTGTAATCCCAGCACTTTGGGAAGATGAGGTGGAAGGATCCCTTGAGGCCAGGAGTTCCAGACCAGCCTGTGCAACACAGTGAGACCCTGTCTCTGCAATAAATAAATAAATAAACAAAAATAGCTAGGCGTGGTAGTGAGCACCTCTAAGCCCAGGGCCCAGCTACGGCTGAGGTAGGAGGATCTCTAGAATCCAGGAGATCGCAGCTGCAGTGAGCTATGATCATGCCACTGCACTGTAGCCTGGGCAACACAGCAAGACTCTGTCTCTGAAAAGAAAACAAAAAAACTCAGATCCATATTTTGAGTTTTCATTCTCTTCATTCTTGACCGCCAGGCTTGGGCACTGTTTAAAGGAAAGTTCCGAGAAGGCATCGACAAGCCAGACCCTCCCACCTGGAAGACACGTTTACGGTGTGCTCTCAACAAGAGCAATGACTTTGAGGAACTGGTTGAGCGGAGCCAGCTGGACATCTCAGACCCGTACAAAGTGTACAGGATTGTTCCTGAAGGAGCCAAAAAAGGTAGGGGCTTTCCTGAATTAGGGTCACACAACAGAGGCAGCCAGATCCTTGAGGCCCCTTAACTTCATTCTGAGCATCACTTTCTAGCTTTCCTTTTGTGCTGCCTGACTGCCTTCTGCCTCACAGTCAAGCCCAGCCTCCTTGCCTGAGTTATGTGGGTCACAAGCTGAAATTCCTGTGGTGTTTAGCATAGGAGAGTTAATCACACTGTACACCTCAACATATATGGGTGTGTGTGTGTGTGTGTGTGTGTGCATTGAATATGTGTTTTCCAGTTAGTCTTAAAAGAAAAAGAAAATAACCTGGGTAACTTGTTAAAGCTTTGCTTATCTTAGAGTCTTCAATGAGTAACTATTTTGCAGAAGAGGAGTAATGAGTTACTATTCACGGTAAAACACTGTCAACTTTAAAAGTGTAACATGGTCAGCTGAGGTGCTTATTAAAAGTAAGCTTTCTGGACCCCTCTTTTGACGATTCTGACCAGTGTGTCTGGAAGAGAGCCCAGGAATTGGCATCTCAAAGAAATCCTTCAGGTGATCACTTGGGAAGCATCTAGCTGGTGGGGTCCTTTATGTCATGAGGCACATTCACATGCTGTCTGTCATGTATTCCTCTACCTGTCCTATACAACGAAGACCTTGAGGAAAAAATCAGTGTAATGGCATGAACAAATAACTTCCCAAGGGAGCTACTGAAAATTACCTTATTTGTCAACACCGTGTTATGCATTCTAAGAATTAAACACTTAGGTATTTTTACAAGATTTGACATTTAGTTAGGTCAGTTCCTGTTTTCACTTTGTGCCATTTCCCTTTTCCCCAAACACATAGGAGCCAAGCAGCTCACCCTGGAGGACCCGCAGATGTCCATGAGTCACCCCTACACCATGACAGCGCCTTACCCCTCGCTTCCAGCCCAGGTATGGTGGAGGGCACTGGGCACCCTGAGGGCAAGGCTGTGTGGACCAGCTGCCCACATGGCCAGAGAACCATAGCAGCCCAGACAACAGAACTTGCCATTTGCTGTGGCTAGTCCCAACAGCCCAGCAAAACCCCAGGTCACCAAATGAATGCTTCACTTTCCACAGGGCGCTGCTGTTGGTGTGGGTTTTAAGTAGGGGAGGGTCGGGCGTGTCTGCCTGTTGGAATATGCTTCTCAGGTCTTCTGGGAAACAGACCTTTTGTGGAAGTTGAAGATTTTGGAAGTAGTGCCTTATCATGTGAAACCACAGGGCAGCTGATCTCTTCAGGCTTTCTTGACGTGAATGACAGCTTTCTTTTATCCACTTTGGTGGGTAGAGGAAGGCAAATTCCCCTGTGGTACTTTTGCTGCCGGATTTAGCCATATGATGAAGCTTTACATAAAACAGGGAAACACTGTCTCCATTGTCCTTTTTGACCCTCTGTGGGTGTTTCCACCTAGTGTGATGAACGATTCATTCCAGTCTTTTCAGATGATGAAATGCTTCAGCTGTCAGCCTGAAAAGGGATTCCCTGAGGAGTTTGGAGGGTATAAGAGCACCCCCTGTCTCAGTGCCAGAGTGCTTTTCATCTCAGGCTCTCCTGTGCTCCTTTAGCAGGTTCACAACTACGTGATGCCACCCCTTGACCGAAGCTGGAGAGACTATGTCCCTGATCAGCCGCACCCGGAAATCCCGTACCAATGTCCCGTCACATTTGGACACCGCGGCCACCACTGGCAAGGCCCAGCTTGTGAAAATGGTAAGGGAGACACCAGAGCAGAAGAAACAGAAGAGCTAATCTGACTATGGGCCATGGTGAATCCTGGTTTGTCCCGGGCAGCACCAAAACTCTTTCCCCTTCTTGGAGGCTGTGTGTGCAGCTCAGGTGAGAGGAGGATTTTCTCAGTCCTGTGGGATGGTGGCATCCCAGAGCCAAGTTTACACTCAGGATCCATGCCAGGCACTGCCCTTCATGGGGTCTTATTTAAACACCACAGAGATCATTCCAGGCAGTGGAAAACAGCCCTCTTTTTATGTATATAGAGGAGATTGTGGAAGCTCATAGGAAGTAGAAATGCTGGGAGATTTTTGAGCTGGTATATTTCTCTTGAATTGTTGTGTGTTCATTGTTGTTACTCTTGGTATTAGAGGTGATACTAAAAACAGAATGCAAAAATACCATGGAAAACACATAAAACATCTCTACAAGTACCTACCTACGGTTGGGTCCCAGAGAAACTTGCTGATTCTGGATTAGATGTGGTCCCCTGCCCTCAGGAGTTCCCCAGACATCAAAACGAGTTCCCTCAGCAGGAGCACTCATTAGCTAGCTGCAGCAAGAATCTCGCAATGCTGTGCTGGATGCTGCAGAACTCAGGCTTTCAGGGCTTTTGAGTTAGTTACTTAAATAGGAGTCCTGAGATGGGTCAACACATTGAACCCTTTGGATGTTTTAGGAATATTTGTTCCTTCACAGTTTGGCCTTTTTTCCCAGTCATGTTCAGGCTGTCCATGGCTGCAGGTAGTGAAGAGGTGTACTGCTATTTAATGTTTGTATTGAGGGACATGTTCACAAAAAAGCTCAGAATTCAGTTGTGTTAGCTTTCTTGGAGGGATTTGCAGCAAGGGCTGGTGTCCAATATGGTAGTGGAGGAATCGGCTCACATAAAACTAGTTTTTGAAATTCAGACTTGTGTTCAGTGCTCTGGCTCTACGGGAAAGAGGCGATGCTTAGAAGTGTGCAAAATGATGGAATAGGTGGAGACATGTCTTGCAGCATTGGAAACACTAAAAGAAGCGGCAGCAGAATCAGGTGTTCGGTGCTACGTTCTTCCTCCGTTCATGTTTCACACATGTCTTCAGGACCATGGTTGTCTTCTCCCTAACCCACAAGAGGCAAGAAAAATAGACATAGTCTAAACAATTTGTTCATTTTTAATTGAGCTCTTTGGCACAAACTCATGTAGACCTGAGCTCTCAGCTCTGTTGTGAACCCGCTGTGTGAACAAGGACAAATCACATCATCTGTCTCTGAGCCCCAGTCTCCCTGGTGATCAGTTACAGAGAGAGGGCTCCGAGTTTCCTCCCAAAGCTGCGCCCTGGCTCATTTCTCCCTCAGCTTCCGTTTTCCAGCTGGTCCCCGGCTCATCTTTGCCTCACAAGAGTGCGCCTTGCTAGTCACTCGTGCTGGGCATGGGTGGGAAGGTGATTGGGCACCAGCCTCTTCCTTCCCAGGCTTCACACACACCCCAGGAAGACCTGCACTGCGTCGGACTCTCTGTCTAGACATCATCTGATTTCTATTTGCAAATGCAGGTTGCCAGGTGACAGGAACCTTTTATGCTTGTGCCCCACCTGAGTCCCAGGCTCCTGGAATCCCCACAGAGCCAAGCATAAGGTCTGCCGAAGCCTTGGCGCTCTCAGGTGAGTGCAGGGTTTGGTTCTGGATTCACCATAGGAGGCCAGCCTCTGCTGCCAGCGCTGTCATCTTTGGGCGGATTCAATGGGACTTTAGACTCTTGCTTTGCTCCCCCCTGGGGTCTGGAGTTGATGTAGACGCATCCTGTGCATGAGGTCACCAGAATGAATTAGGAGCAACATTGGAAAACTTAGCAATGAGAAGCCAGCTTGTGGTTCTGCTGCCAGTTTTAGCCACTGGCTTGAATGGAGTCATTTCAGCTTCTTCTCTGGCACCTCTCCAGATTTCTAGGAATGTACACACACTCCAGTTTCCTTCACCAAGGGCCCCTCTTCAGCCAATATTCTCACAATGTGAAACAATTGCTTCGAAGTATAGAAGGGCATCTCATTTTGCGAAGCTGATCATTCTTCCTGGTTCAGCCACAAAGTCCTCCTTCCCTGCTCCCTGGGGACATTAGTTCTGGTCCCTCATCTCTATAATGTTGATATGCCTCAAAGTAATGCATATTTTGATCTTCCTCTGAACTTTAATATAGCTTGCAAACAAATACGGAATCAATCTGATTTTTAAAGTTTTATTTAAAAAAAATTCCTGTACCATGGAGATCTTACCTATTATAAGGAAGGCACCTTTAAGCTTGCCAAGCATATGTGCCATATGTATATTTACTTTTTAGATAGTATTTTAGATTGTTTTTAAATGGGATTTGCATTTATATTAAAAACAGATAGTTAAGGTTTGCAATTCTTATCTTGCCCTCTGGCATCTTTAAAATCCAGTGATGAAAAATACTAACTAAATGCCGAGGGTCTCAGGGAGACGAGAGTTGCGACACTTTGGTTGCTCACAGGTGAGCTGGAGTTTCACCTGCCAGCCCTTTTGAGTTCTGAATGAGGCTTGCACCTTGTTTTCTGAGATGCTCATGAGTAACTGAGGATGCCCATTGGGAGGAGGTGCTTCTGAGCAGGAAGGCTTGTGTTTGTTTTTAGAAACTTTCAAACCCTTTTCTTGAACACCTAAGACTTGTGTGGGTGCTTGAAGAGTAGGAAATAAACAGCTATTTATATCTCTGCAACCTCGTGATTTCTGATGACATTAAACGAAATGAAACCTGCCCCGAGAATCACCTCGAATGGCCAACACCCACTCTCTTTGGGGCGCACTGTCTGACTCGTTCTCAGCCAGTATGTGGAAGCAGAGAATTGAGACTGTGATGTCGGTTAAGTCTCAAAACCTGCTATTGAGGAATAAGAGAGTTTTGTGGGTTTCTTTTTTTGGTATGCATAATACAGATTAATGATCAGCCATGAGCACATTTATTAGAGAACTGTGATTCCCATTGATGTTGGGGTCTCACACAGTTACCAGTGTCAGCCGCCTTCTGCCTGTGCTGCTCCCCTGCAGGCCGGCGGAGGAGCTTGTGCAAACCTAGCTTCATTATTTCAGCTCATGGGCGCTGTTTCAAGGAGGTTCCTGAAATCAGCAAAACATTTGTAAATGGATTCATCTTGTTTAAAGTTTCAGAGAGCACAGTTTTAGAGTTCTTTTCAAACTTAAGCACAAAGCCCGGTGGTAATTTCAGCAGACTTTACATGAACTTTAGAGTATTTTTTCTCATTGATTTCTTTCTTTTCACAAGAATTTTGTGATAAAAACACCACATAGCCGATGTGGAAAACTAATTTAAAAATCAGAAAAACAAAAATGAAAGATAAAAGCATCATATTCTACCACCCCAAAATCACCATTAAAGCCTCAGTGATTACCCTTTAATATGTATATGTGCATGTGTTTATATATAAATTATATAGACATATATAACTGAGCATCTGATTATATATGTAATTTGTATATATGTACACACACTTGGGTTTTTACCTAAATGATATCATGTTATTATTTCAGGGAACTTTCAGGTGTGTGGACAGACTTGCTTCCCTTCTGAAATACTGTTTTTTTTTTTTTTTTTGCTAGCAGAAATTAAACTTAGGGTTCATTTCCTCCAAAGTAAAAACTGATTTACGTAAAGATTAATTTTTGTTCCATGACACATGACTTAAATGTCATCACCACTGTCATCATCATTCACAAATAAGACTTAGTAAGTTCTTAATAGTGATGCTCTCTCAGTTCAACTTATTTTTCAAGAAAAATTAATGAAAGGTACACTCCTCCCTTAAAAAAAGAGTCTTTGGCTACATGTAATTGAAATATGCTAGCTTTAGACAAGTTAAATGGGTTTCTTCCCACGGGACTTCACTAAGTGTTGACCAAGCTCGAGCTGCCTATGGCTGTCTGGGGGACACAAGGGCGCACGGCGTTTCCCAGGCCTCCTTGATGCCGGAACCTTGTGCTTCTCCATGGAGCATGTGGGACACTAGAGTTCCACCACAGGTGCTTGGCTCTGTGGAGCCACTGGCCTCGAGGCAGTGTCCTTGGCCCCCAGCACTGACTCCGGCGCCCTGTGTTTGCAGACTGCCGGCTGCACATTTGCCTGTACTACCGGGAAATCCTCGTGAAGGAGCTCACCACGTCCAGCCCCGAGGGCTGTCGGATCTCCCATGGACACACCTACGACCCCAGCAACCTGGACCAGGTCCTGTTCCCCTATCCAGAGGACAATGGCCAGAGGAAAAACATTGAGAAGCTGCTGAGCCACCTGGAGAGGGGTGTGGTCCTCTGGATGGCCCCGGACGGGCTCTATGCGAAAAGACTGTGCCAGAGCAGGATCTACTGGGACGGGCCCCTGGCGCTGTGCAACGACCGGCCCAACAAACTGGAGAGAGACCAGACCTGCAAGCTCTTTGACACGCAGCAGTTTTTGTCAGGTAAGGCTCCTCATTATCTGTTAGAATGGAGGTGGTGATGGCTCGCCTACCATAGGGGTCAGAAATGACAGGGTCCTTCATCCTAGGCTGAAGTCTTCCCTCTGTGGACTCTGGTGCCCACCGGCATTGACCCCAGTAGAGATCTGTCTGGCTCTGTTGTGGGCAGAGAGTCCGGAGCACAGGTGGACTGTGGCTCAGGCTGTACCTTTGCAATTCTGGTTTTCAACAAACAGTCACACGTCTTAACACAGTTCCATTATGTTGCACTATGATCTCAACAAACATGTCTGCTGATGTGATGGCTCTTTCCAGGTTCCCAGAGAAATCGTAAAGGTTAGAAGCTTATTATTAACGTTCTTGGTTGTCAGATGTGTCACCCTCAGGCAGATGCCACCCCACGAGTGGGATGGAGGGTGGAGTGGACTGAACTGATTTTGCACAGGGAAGGTTCCAGTAGAGTGCTTTGAGTCGGCTCTGTGATACGAACGTTTCTAAGCATATTTTTCAGAACTAGTGAGTTTTGTTTTCTACTTTGGATTTCATGACAATTCCATAAGCCTCTGGCTGGCTTCTGTGACGCCCCTGGCCCTGTCATGCACAGTGCCCTGGAGGCTTCGTGGAGTCGTTGAGGTGGAAGGAGCCTCCCGAGTGGAAGGGAGCTGTTTACCCGCCAGCTCACTGCCAGCTCTTCCTCTGTCTCTTCCTAGCCCTGCCTCTTCCTGAACCCCTTCACAAACTCCTGTGTCTTTGATTTTTCACATGCCTCCCCGTTTCCTGAAAGTGCTTCTTCATTCAACTGATTAAAATAAAAATATGACGCATCTATGTGCTCTGGCACTGTTGACATGTGCTCATACTTTTGGGTGTAAGTGGCCCATCTTTTTGTAAACTTATCCAAATTATCTTTTGGTGCCCACAGCAAATATGTCCCTAGGTAACTTAGCTTCAAGCCAGGTGTGTTGGCTCATGCCTGTAATCTCAGCACTTTGGGAGGCCAAGGTGGGCAGAGCACTTGAGGCCAGGAGTTTGAGACCAGCCTGGCCAACATGGAAAAACCCTGTCTCTAGAGAAAAAAAAAAAAAAAAAAAAAAAAAACCAACAAAACAAAAATTAGGAGGCCGAGGCACACGAATTGCTTAAACCCGGGAGGCAGAGGTTGCAGTGAGCTGAGATCGCACCACTGTGCTCCAGTTTGTGGGACAGGGCCAGACTCTGTCTCAAAAAAAATAAAAGCAAAGAGAAAAGATAACCAAGCTTCACAGAGGCTGACAATAGGAAGAGGGAGAACTGTGCTGTTCCCCGAGGCGGTGGCAGGTGTCTCATTCTAAGTGGCAGAAGTATCCCCAAGCCCCAGTCAGGGCGGCCCCATCCTTTTTGGGGTTGGGCATAGTGTTCATGGGGGACCAAGGAACTTGAAGGGCAACTGTGGGGACCCCCATCAGCATCTCCTGTGTCTGCTTTGGGATCTGGAAGAGCTCACATGGGACAGGAAGACTGAAGTCCAGTGGGTCTGGATTTCTGAAGACTCTGGACCTCGGTGCCTCACAGGGTGGGGGCTTTCTAATGAAGGTGTCACAAGGAACTGGCACTGGCCTCTCTGAGTGCCTCTTGCCAGGCATTTTTAGGGAAGTAGAGCCTCCATGGTGACTAAGCGACTCAGTGCTGGAAGGTGCACTTTGAGTCACAGGTGCACTGCGTGAGAGACAGCACAGGCAGGGCGGACGCTTGTGAGAGTCCTTCGGCTGCAAACTCACATGCCTAGAACTTACTATTAATCTGTGAGCAAGAGCTAGTCTTGGCTTTTATTCCTTCCTCTGTAACCAAGGGCTGTGCTCTTTGCCCACTGCAACCTCTCACCTCAAAGTGTTCACTGAGGTTCAAGGAGGATGCTGTGAACGTAAAAACAGCAGCCGTGCCGACCAGCTTCTGCATAATTAAGCATTCCCATCAAATGCTCTCATGGTATCTAGGGTTGGAGGCACGCTTTTTCAGAGAATTGTGCCAGCTCCCCACTCTGATTAGCCTGTGTAGGTGTTGTCTCAGATCACGGTGAATGTAAATGTATTTTACACATTCTGACTAAGTCGTTTGGGTTTGATTTGAATTCTGGAAAAAAAAAAAGCAGGAAGTCAAATAGTTCTGTGAGTTAGCTAGAAACTTGTGTTCAGTTGAAGAGAACAGTGGAGATCTCTGATATCTCCCCATTCAGGGTCTGTGCAGGCACTAGGGACAGCCCCCTGGGTGCGGCCGAGGGTGTGTATCTGATAAGGACGCATCTGTTCTGCAGAAGCTTTAGCAGCTCCTGTGTCAAATCGTTTCTTTTGCGGGCATGACCTCTTACTGTAGGTACAGACAGAAGATTCGTCTCGTGTACGCGAGAGGCGGCATGGGCTTAAAGTAACGGGGTGAGGGCACGCCTTCCCAACAATGTTCCAGTCCATTTCGCATCTTTTGGGTAGGCATGGTGGCTTCGGGATACATATGTATATATCCACAAGGGGGAGGTGGGGCAGGGGCTGCCCTGCTTCCCTACTCGTGTCAAGTTACTATTCTGTCCCTGGAGACAGGCAAGAAGCCGACTCAGAGTTACACAGCTCAGAGCTTAGGCACAGCGACGGAAGGACACAGCTGTCGATGGCTGCTGCTCAGTCACCACGTTGACGTTACGTATTTTCTGCGATGCCTGAGTTCTGTGGATGTCCGCAGTAGCTCAGATGCTGGGCTCTGTAGTGATGGGATGAGGTTTTAAAATTATCCTGGGATGTCAAAACATTCTAATTTTTTAAATGAAAATCTGTCCGTGGCAAAATTGGTCTTTTGCCATTGCGTGACTATGTTTCTTGTTCTTTCTCTGCCAGCTTCACTGTGGTATGCTACCTTTTGAATCTTCATGGGTCCAATGCTGTAAAGCAGTCTTCTAAAGCTGTTGACTAGTTCTCCTTGAAGAATCAAGGGAGACCGAGGGCCCTGGGGGAAAAGCATCCATATGAACGTATATATGCTATTTTGTATGTGGGGTGTTCACATCAGGAGCCCTACTTGGGGAAATAAAGAGTGCTCATTTCTCTTGCAGTGTTCAGAATCACAGTAAGCTCTTGCTTCCTGTTTAACCTGGTGTGTTTGGTGATAAGGGTTTCTGAACATGGTGTTTTTCTTGTGGGCTTCTGCAGAGCTGCAAGCGTTTGCTCACCACGGCCGCTCCCTGCCAAGATTCCAGGTGACTCTGTGCTTTGGAGAGGAGTTTCCAGACCCTCAGAGGCAAAGAAAGCTCATCACAGCTCACGTGAGTCCTCAGTTACACTCGTACTATGCACACAGGCTTCCTGTTCTTTATAAAGAGCAGAGTCTCATTTAGAAAAGTCCCAAGTGAAAAGTAAATGTCAAACGACCTGGAAGAATAAGCGCAACCCTTAAAGTGGTGAGGAAGGAAGCGTGGTCCAGTGAGCAGCAGTGTGGGGACCCATGTGCTCCTCCCAGACTTGAGATCTACTCATCAAAGAACCAGGGAGGACAGCCCCAATGGAGGGTCCCACCCTCCCCATCTTTTTTGTTTTTCAGGAAAGTTGTCATATTTCCATTTTATGGGAATCGAAAAAGAGTGATGGTGAAAGCTGCCCTTTAAAATTCTCCATGTTAAGACTGCTTGGAGAATGCTATCTAGCTAGTGGATCTTCAATCAGTGGAAAAGCTTTTCCCAGATGGGAAGCTGTCCATTCCTTGGAGGCCTTTTTTACGTCTCTGGAGATGTGTCCTAGCACCTGTTTTATTTCTGGAATTTTAGAAATTATTTAATCATTGGGTATATGATATTTCAAAGATGCTAAATGTTTCAAGGAATTCAAGTAGCTCAGAGTCGCATAATGGTCTCTAGCATAGTTCAGGATGGGTTCAACTGTGGCAAGTCATGCTAAAGGGTTAGGGTTAGGATTTGGGTTAGAGTTTTCTTTTTTATGAGAAAATGTTTCTGTAGATAAGATGAAGCATTACTTTGCCATACAAAACAGAATCTTTAACCCTTAAGACTTTTGAATTTGAAAACTTCACATTGCTACAAACTTGCAATTGTTATTAATAGGCTTGGATAGTGAGCAATACCAGATAAACTTACACCCCATCGCATCAAAATTCCCATCAGATTCTAGGTCTGATGTCATTTCTCATTGAGAACTGAAATGAAATATGATTTAATCTTGAACATACAACCCCCCCTTCTTGATTTTAAAAACAAAGACCGACCAACCAATATATAATCCCATAGACTCAGGAGTTTTCTCATGAGTTCTCTCCAGTGATTGACTTAATAATTGATGTGATTGTTGAAATAATAACTGATATGTTGTTAACAATAGGAATTGCCAAATTACTGAATAAACTTGGCATTGATAAGCAGCATTTAAGAAGCTGATGATCAGCTATCACATCAATCTAATTTTAAGGGTGACTTGTATGCAAGTTCTGGTCCTCTAAGTGAGGCAAAGATGGATCCCAAGATGATCCCTCATCCTAAAGACAAAGCTGTGTGGTCCATAATATGAATAAACACACTTGTACACCTATGAGTTCCACTTTTAAAAATTATTAATTAATTTCAGGTACTTACATAGGAGTTTTGCTTAGGTCGTTATATATAAAATACAAACTCTAATAGCATGATTGATGGAGAGCATTCAGCTTGCCTTAGATGCTGTCAATTCAGGAAAAGCTGAACATCAAGGTGTTTAGTTTTGTCTCGTTTTGTTTTATTTGGTGAGTGTGATCCGTGCTAATAACCAGACAGGATAAATTTGAGCCCAATTAACTTCTTTTTTCCCGCAATAGTAGTAGTGTTGTTGTTGAACTTTATTTTCTTTTTCTTTTATCTCTGGTTTAGAATTATACAGATTACCTAGAAAGCAAATCATTCAGGATGAGTTCCTTGTTTCTTTCAAACTGCAGTTGTGGAAAAACAAAATCATTGGTCAAGATGACCCTGCAGATGACCTCAGACTTCCTTTTAATTTGATCACTTTACTTGATTTGATTCAGTTTTAGTTAAATGTACATTTTAAGTGGCAGTTGATTTGAAAGTAGCAGTTTTAACCCAGAATTAAGTAGCTTTGTCCACTTCTTTACAGGTTGATCTATGGAAGGACTAACAAAAAATTCCTTCTTTAGATGGCTCCAAATATGTTTTAATGTGTTCTAGCACGTAACTTTGGGCTTCCCGTTACTGTCTCCTTAGAATCTGAGTGCTATTTAATAGTGAGCCAGTTGCAGGATATCTCAGTAATGTCTTTTTAAAATCTCTTATTAAAGGTAGAACCTCTGCTAGCCAGACAGCTGTATTATTTTGCTCAGCAAAACAGTGGACATTTCCTGAGGGGCTACGATTTACCGGAACACATCAGCAGTCCAGAGGATTACCACAGATCTGTCCGCCATTCCTCCATTCAAGAATGAAAAACATCAAGACGAATGATTTTTTTTTTCTTTTCTTCTTCTTCTTTTCTTTCTTTCTTTTTTTTTTTTTTTTAATTTTTTTTTTCACAAGGTCTTGCTCTATTGCCCAGGCTGGAATGTAGTGGCATGATCTCGGCTCACTGCAACCTCTGCCTCCCAGGTTCAAGAGAGTCTCCTGCCTCAGCCTCCCTGGTGGCTGGGATTACAGGTGTGAGCTACCGCCACCGCACCAGCCCAAGGCAAATGATTTTCATTGTAAATATTTGACTTTGGTGGAAGCGTGTAATTGACTTCACTCTTGCTGTTTTAAGGAACTCAGAAGTGGAGATTTCAGTTCAGCAGTTGAGGAGAATTGCCGAGAGACATGAATGAAAAATCAGTGACATCTGATTGGCAGATGAGCTTATTCTAAATGCAAAGGTGGTTTTGCATTTCTTGTGTTCCATAGACTGCCATCATTGATGATCACTGTGAAAGTCGACCAAGTGGTGTTTACATTTACTTAAATGTCCTCTTAAATCTCAGCTTGTTGTAGATTAGGTCTTGTTGGAAGACTGAGCAAACTTGCCTTTCAGTATCAACCACTGACCAGTGTGATGACTGCTCGTAGATATATCTGCACCATTTCTCAGGGAAGTAAGGTGTAAATTGAAGAAGACTTGCCCACAAAAGAAATGTATTAATGTATGTAGGAGCTGTAGTTTTTGTGGAAGTCGCTTGCTGAGTGGAGGAAACGCAATCTGTGATGGAAGCTGTGCCTGTAGCTGTGGGGAGGCCCATTCCCCACCTGCCAGTGGTTTCCTGGTATGGGCCACTCTGCCCTGCTGTCTCCCATTGGCTTTCTCTCCTTGGCCTTCCCTGGGCGCCAGCGAGTAAACTTCCTATTTCCTTGAGCCAAAAAACACAGGGCTACTCTGGAACGAGGCATTTTTGTCTTATATAATCAGGTGATGGTTAACTTTTCTTGTTTCTTTGTTTTTTTCTGTCTCTCATTGTTTAGAAATGCAAAAATTCTTCTCCTAAAGAAGAAATTAAGGAACATTTGTCTTAATACTTGGACTGTCCATGTACTAAGCCCTTTGTTCTTCTGCTAAACCCTTCTGTCCACATACTAAGTTATTTGTTTCCCTCCTCTGAGCCACTCCCCTCTGTTTGTTTGGCTGTCCAGTGTCAGCCATGGCGACACTAAAGGAGGAGGAGGAGCCGGGGACTACCAGGCTGGAGAGCAGAACAAGGCCAGGACCCGCCACGTGAAGCAGGATGGAAGCTGACTGCGGAACTGCACATTCAGTGGGCTGTTTCTGCTTATTTCATCTCTTCTATGCTTCCTCCTGCCAGTTATAGTTTGACAGGGCCTTAAAATTACTGGCCTTTTTCCATATGCATCTATTTATAGAATCCCAAAGACCTCCACTTGCTTAAGTAAACCTGATTACTTACATTTTTGTGGTTTTGAGAAAGGACAGCAGTGTAGACTGGGGCGTCGCCTCCAGGGTGCTTCTCATACTGCAGGGTATTTACTATTACTCCCAGCATCAGCAGAAGATTGCAGAGCTCTCAAATGTGTGCTCCTGCTCATCTAACCAATAATTTAGATTCATTCAACAAGCACATAGTAAGCGCCTGTTGTATCCCTACATTACACAGGTTTCAGCCTTTATCAGGCTTAATGAGCATGAAACACTGACACATCATTTTTTAATGTTTAAAACGGGTTTCTAATATTAAAGTCATAATGTGTCAACTACAGAAAATACAAACAGTAGAGAAGAACAAAAAATAAAAAGCATTCTCCTTTTTTCCCAGCCCAAATTCTCCTCTCTAAAATGGTTTCCACAAAAAAGTGTTTATTCTTCTAACACATTTCACTTTTTTGTAAATATACATAAACTTAAAAAGAAAACCTGACGGTGTCATCTCGCACACAATTTCATGCAGTGCTCCTTGTAGCTGACAGTGAAGATTTACCTCATTCTGCTCAGAGACCTTGCTATGGACCTCTGCTACCACCTACTCAGTAGATTTTGACCTTTCATGAGCCACACAACGCAGATATGTATTGGGCAGCAGACTGTGTTTCGTGAACTGCAGTGATGTATACATCTTATAGATGCAAAGTATTTTGGGGTATATTATCCTAAGGGAAGGTAAAGATGATCTTAGGAACTGCTGTTTCACGGGGCCCTTGCCTGTGACCCTCTTCGCTGAAGAGTATTTAACCCCACACGGCACTTCAAAGAAGCTCTCTTGGAAGTCTGTCCCAGGAGCATCCATCCTGTCCTCTTAATTCTCCAGCGGATGCTCCATTTCAATTGCTTTGTGACTTCTTTTTCTTCTTCCTCTTCCTCTTCCTCCTCCTCTTCTTCTTCTTCTTTTCTTCTTCTTCTGCTTTAACAGCAGAGCTGAATTTTCTGGAAAATGCTTGTTGGCTGGGGCTACTACCTCTTATCTTTATATCTATGTGACTGTTAACTGTTTTTTTTTTTTAATTTTGAGTGATCCAGCATATGACCTAGGGAATGAACTAGATATGAAATGCCCAGGGTTGGAAATCCTAGCACATGTCTCAGCACTCTGCAAAGGAATGGCTTCCTCATTCCTTCTCTTGATAAAGTGGAATTGGCAAACCAGAATTTAGTTTGGACTCAGTGGACAATGCTTTTGAAGAGTCTGGGGACTGGTTATGTTAAAGAGCATTGGGGCACATTGAAAAAATGTATGTGTCTCCCAGGTGCATTTCTTGGTTTATGTCTTGTTCTTGAGATTTTGTATAATTAGGAAAACCTCAAGCAGTAATTAATATCTCCTGGAACACTATAGAGAACCAAGTGACTGACTCATTTACAACTGAAACCTTGGAAGCCCCTCAATCCCCAGTGGAACAGGACAGTTAGTCACCCTTCAGAAAACCCAGCTAATGTATTGGGTATGAGCTAAAAAGAGACTGGTCCATGGTGAGAAAAAATGTAAAAACCCTACAGTAGAATGAGCAGCCCTACCCAAGGGCAGGTAGGTGTTTGTTTGAAAAAGATGGTCTTTGGGCTAGGACATAGATGCAGCTAGCCCCAGGGGTTATATAACTGGGAGTGTTGGGTGCTTGCACCTCTCACCTTTGTTGATGCTCCGCCAGGAAGGCCACTTTGTGTGTGCCCATGTCAGTTACTTTTTTAGTAACAATTCAGATACAGTGTGAACTTCCTCTCGTTGTTCTCCAGTCACATGCCCCTCTTCCCCACAGGTGAAAGTGTTTTCTGAAAGTGGTGGGATTGCTTAACGTCTTTATTTGTATTCCATATCTCCCCAAATCATCTGTGACGGGCGGCCTCTGTCTGAATGGTGCATGAAGGCTGACTGACCTTACACACCATTTTGCAGGTTACTTTTTACATGCCCCATTTTTGAGACTGATCCTTGATGTAGGTGGATCTCCCTGAAATGCTGATAGCCTGTTACATGAATGCCATAAAGATCAGTTTTTCTGGTATTTATTTTCACAACTTTGAGGAATATGCATAAGAATGTAGCCGAAGTGGAGGGCATGAGAGAGAAGGGCCAGGCCAGCAGGCCAACCCTCCTCCAGTGAAATTCCCGTGTTGCTTCAATCTCTGAGCTAGATGGGACTTAACAGGCAGTGGGGTCTACTTCCCTCTCCTCAGCATCCTGTGCCCCTGACTTTCTGCTGAGTGAACTACTGTCATGTAGGACCCAAGAGGCCCCCGACTGAAAGTTTAAATTTCCCGTACTGAATCTGTGTGTTGCTGAGATTTGTAGGAAAGGATGCTTCACACACTAGATGGAGCATGCTGTGCTGCCTTTGGTATATGTCATGAATTTTTATGTAAATTGTTTTGCAAAGCAAATTGATATGTTTGATAAATTTATGTTTTTAGGTAAATAAAAACTTATAAAAACTTGTTTTGGAGTGTGTGTGTGTGTGTGTGTGTGTGTGTGTGTGTGACTAAACACACATCCTGATAGCCTTCAAAGCACTTTTTCCTGCTGTTATATTCTTTTTTTTTTTTTTAATTGTATTTTGGCTCTGGGGTACATGCGCACGTCCTGTATCCTGCAGGTTGTTGCCTAGGTACATACATGCCATGGTCAGTGAGGCTGCTATATGTGTCCCTGATCAGATCTCAAAGTGTTCAGCTTCTTAAACAATACAGACAAACGCTGATCAAGTGCTGGGCAGTTCTTCCCACACAGGAGGGTCTGTGAAGAGTAATCATCTTGCTCTCCCATTGACACCCTCCCTCCTCTTCCTTTACCTGTGCTTTAAAAGGTCTAGGGCTTTCAAGGAAGTTGTTTTTAATGTTTTCTTTTGTTTAGATTCAAAGCTCCTCTCATTTTTGACATTGCTGAAAAGAAGGGATCTAGGTTAACCAGCATTCTGAATGTGAAAACCGAATGGAAAACTGTGGATAATGAGAATAGGGTTTAGATGGAAGCCCTGGGGATCTGTATGTCTGCTGTTAACCTCAGCTCCAAACTCTTCCTCTCTCTGAGCAGCCAGGCCAGGGAGTCTCCTTTCTCAGCGTCATCACTTCTGTTGCTCAGTTTCTATGGATCCACTAACTTCCAGTCCAGCCAAAAAACTCAAAGGACAAGGCTGCAGCTGCTGGTGCTAAAATCCTTGCAGCTGAAGGTTACATGGAGCTGTCACAAAAGTGTAGTTTGGATCTAGAATTCCCCCAAACAATAGATTAGCATAATTTTGATTTTGCTAAATGGTAACTAAAGGAGAGGAAATATAATTTTTTTCTGAACCCTCATAAGTTCAGTTGAGACACTTTCCTGAAAACAAAAGCCAGATTAACAGAAAAATCAGCAGATAATGTGTGCTGTACTTATCATGTGGAAGAGATCTCAGTTCAAAAGTATCTCTCTGAAGTCAGTAGCTTAAGGGTCTTGCCTAAATGGTATTTTAACAAAGATCAGTAAATCTTAGCACAGTGACAAGACAAAGGAGACCACAGTCCCAGTGTTTT